GGGACTTTACTTAAGTTCACCAAATTGACGCGTGTTCGGCTTTGGTCTGGTACTAAGAAACTACAATTATAAATGCTTGGTAATTCCAATCTGATTGACGAACTCTCCAGTGATATAATCCAACGTAGGAATTGATATGTTCCAATTACAGCCTATAAACGTAGATAGTGTTTGATTTAAACTTCATTTAGCTCAATCACAGACGAAGATAGAACGAGGAATGTGTGAGTAGTAGTGTATTTGTTAGCCAGCAAGAGTATGTCACGCTATGTGGTTGCACACCGGAAGTGTGTTCAAAGTCATTTACTAGAACAACAGTTACAGTCATTTAATGTTAAATATACGCACAGTGAAAGGTTGACAAAATAAATACATATAATATTAAAAACGATTTACAAAATAAGCTTGTTAGTCATATCTCCTTAATCTAATTTTGATGTATTCAATACTGAGAAATGATTAATGACCTAATATATCTTTTTCCTTCCTGGAACAACTCAGAGAATACAGCAGGTGAGTAAAAAGCCATGAACGAACAAAACACCCGTGTCATACATGGTTTTGTACTCCTTAAGAGTTGTCAAATGCCGGGATTCGCCGTCAGCCGAGCTAGTCCAAGAGACTTCCCAGGAGTCCTTTAGGAGGCAACTTGATCTATTCTTGAGGACTGAAGATAGTGTAGCGGTAAATAAATCCCCAAACTAAATAGCTCTGTAGGTTTTCGACATTGGATGCTGACCATATGTTTTAGTGGACTCATCTAGCTGAAGGCGCTTGGTCATGCATCCGCACCAGATCACGTGCTGTAACGCTGTGCTCAACATCAACCGCAATCACTAGCCAGATTAGATCAGAGATTCCCGATATATCGGTTATCGCCAAATACACTCTTCCGATCTCCTCGACTCTGTCTTTTGATTTCTCTCGGTGGGAACAACGCATATTAGAAGGTGTTACTGGTAGAAGCGTTGTCAAACACTGAATACCTGTATCATCCTCATTTGGTGAAACCGTCGTGATCTGGTACACCTAATTGCAACTGTGAGTCTGTTCCTTTTTGGGATTTTCATATATCATTACCTTATTTTTTAAACATTGTGATTTTTTTCGTGTTTTTCCTTGGATATATATATATTTTCCCCTCGTTCATTATCGTACTTCATATTTCATCATGGCTGAACAGACACCCAAAGTACTCAAGCTTAAGACTTTGTCCCCGCCTTCGTTTCAGCTCATGCCTTTCTGGCCCGACAATATCGAAGCCTGGTTCTACTACGCAGAAGCTGACTTCTCCGAGCACGGCGTGATCGACACACGTGCACAATTCCTCGCAGTAGTCAAGGCACTACCGCGCGAATTCAACAGGCACGTAACACCTAGTATGTTTACTAGTGATGTTTCTGAACCTTACGAAATCCTAAAACGTTCGATTCTTAAACGAGGAGACCTAACCGATCGACAAAGGTTAGATCAACTCTTCAATAACATCGACCTGCAACACGGTTCTGCGGCTGACGTGTTGCAAAGAATGAGAGAAGTGATAGGCCTAAGGACTTTCGACGAAGCTCTATTTAAACAACTTTTCTTGTCTAAACTTCCTCAAAAGGTGCAAGCGGTTCTGGTCTCGTTTCAGAACAACGCCTTAGACGAGCTAGCTGCATCTGCCGATCGTATTTTAGAAATAACGAAATCGTCTACTTCAGAGGTATTTTCCGTCAAAGAAAACCCTCAAATGACTCAGAATGACATAACCGAATTATGTCATACACTCACGAGTTATCTTAATCTTCGTAACGACCGTAGTCGCTCACGCAGCCCACGTAGAAACATTTCACGTAAACGATCTGTCTCTAGACCACGAGAGACGGATAATCCCGACTGGTGCTGGTATCATAACCAGTATGGAAAATCTTCCAGAAATTGCAGAAAACCCTGCAATTTTCCCAACACGAAAACGACTGACTCGAAAAACAAGTCGGGAAACTTCCAAGCCGGCACGCGTTAACGGCAACCGTAGCCGGCGAACATAGCCGTCTGTTGTACGTCACAGATGTGACAACGAGAGTTCGCTACCTCGTCGACACTGGCGCAGAAGTTAGCGTTCTCCCAGCAAATCATAACGACCGGCTCCACGAATCAACTCTAAACTTACAGGCGGCAAATGGAAAACCGATCGCCACGTATGGCAAAAGGTACGTCTACCTTAACGTGGGTTTACGCAAACCCATTCATTGGATTTTCGTTGTTGCAGATGTTTCTATGCCAATCATTGGTATGGACCTTCTACAACACCATAATCTAATCATCGACACACGCAAACGGAGGCTAGTAGATGTAAACACTAAATTATCCGTTTGCGTAACTTCTTTTTCTGGTTGTAGATTATCCCCAGTCACAGTTAAGCATATGATACCCACTCTATCAACCACTACTCGATAAGTACCCTGGGATACAACAAACTCAACCGAAACTACCGTGTGTAACCAGCAACGTTAAACATCACATCACGACTACAGGACCACCTGTATTCTCTAAAGCACGACGACTAGCTCCTGAAAAGCTAAGGTTAGCGAAAAACGAATTCGATCATATGATGGACTTAGGAATCATACGACCGTCAAACAGCTCTTATGCATCTCCGTTGCACATGGTCCCTAAAAAGGACAGCAACGATTGGCGTCCAACTGGTGACTATCGGCGATTAAATGCAAAAACCATTCCCGATCGTTACCCTTTAACTCACATTCACGATTTGACAGCTACCTTGAAAGGTACAACTGTCTTTTCGAAAATCGACTTTGATAAAGCGTATAACCAAATCCTTTTGGCTACTAACGAAATACCGAAAACAGCCATCATAACTCCTTTCGGACTCTATGGATTTTTGCGAATGCCGTTCGGTCTAAGAAACGCTGCGAAAACATTCCAAAGATTCATAGACGACGTTTTTCGAGGTCTCAACTTCGTAAATGTGTATGTTGATGACTGCCTAATCGCAAGTCCGGACAGAGAATCACATCTCAAGCATCTAGATCTTGTTTTCGAACGATTACAAAAACATGGCATTACTATAAACGTTCAGAAATGCCAATTCGGAACCGACTCGTTAGATTTCCTAGGACACACTATCGATGCTCAAGGCATTCGACCTCTTAGGACCAAAGTGGCGGCCACTCTGGATTACCCAGAACCGACCAACGTCAAGCAATTACGCACGTTTAACGGCCTAGTAAGTTTCTATAGACGTTTCATACCGAAATGCGCATTACTTATGAAACCTCTTACTGACCAACTTCGTGGAAATGCGAAATCCAATAAGTTGGACGACACCGCAGTTAAAGAACTGATCGCTAAAGCAACAATGCTCGCACATCAGGACACTGAAGCACCCATTAATATCGCAGTAGACGCATCCGACTCGGCAATCGGAGGAGTCTTACAACAATGGGTTAACAACTCCTGGCAACCCTTGGCATTTTTCTCTAGACGGTTGCTAGACACCGAATCGAGGTACAGCACATTCGGTAGGGAACTCCTAGCTGTGTATTGTGCTGTACGGCATTTTGAACACTATATCGAAGGCCGTGAATTCACTCTATTCACTGACCATAAACCGCTCACTTTCTCGTTAAGTTCCTCTTCAGACAAGTTCTCTCCCCGTGAGTCTCGACAACTGGACTACATTTCGCAGTTTACTTCAGATATTCAACATATTTCTGGAGCAAACAATGTAGTTACAGACGCCTTGTCTCGAATAAATTCCTTGAACAGTTTCCAAGTAATCGACCTCCTTAAACTCGCCCAGCTTCAAAAAGAAGACACTGATCTTCAGCAAGAGTTATCGTCCACAACCCTTAAACTACGCATCAAACAGATGGGAACAGGTAAGAAAACCTTACTTTGTGACACATCTACAGGTAGGGATCGCCCAATCGTCCTGGAACATTATCGACGCAATGTCTTCAACACATTGCACAAACTTTCTCATCCAGGTGTTCGTGCAACCGATCCGAAATTTTCATTGTATTTTTTCTTTTTTTACTATGTTGTACCCCGGTCCCATATAGTAAGGAAAGACGACCAGACGCTGCTAAATTTAGTAAGCTATCAGAAGAGTGTTTACCAACGACAAACTCGTTAGGTTTAAACTTCTGGTTGACCACGTCTTAGGGTCATCACTGCCCCACTAGGGGGGGACTGATCTGTAGCGGTAAATAAATCCCCAAACTAAATAGCTCTGTAGGTTTTCGACATTGGATGCTGACCATATGTTTTAGTGGACTCATCTAGCTGAAGGCGCTTGGTCATGCATCCGCGCCAGATCACGTGCTGTAACGCTGTGCTCAACATCAACCGCAATCACTAGCCAGATTAGATCAGAGATTCCCGATATATCGGTTATCGCCAAATACACTCTTCCGATCTCCTCGACTCTGTCTTTTGATTTCTCTCGGTGGGAACAAAGCATATTAGAAGGTGTTACTGGTAGAAGCGTTGTCAAACACTGAATACCTGTATCATCCTCAATAGTATCGCGCTATGATTTACTAATATCTTTTCCTGTTTTATTGTTAACATACCTAGGTTCCTGCCTGGAGGATTTGGTGATCTCATGCTACCAGACACGGTAGCCTGTCAAGTGAAAGCTTCTTCTATTCCGTCCACAACCATTTGAACCATTTGAATTAATTCTTGGAACCTGTTACCCGAAGCACTGGTATCCGCACCTTCACTTGATTCATCCAAGAGGAGAATAGACACTCACAAAAGCTTTATAGACAAGGACAAACGTAGGCTGTAGGTCTTCCATCCTTACTAAACAAATCTGAATCTAATTCTGTAGTCTTGACTGTTCACGAAAATCAAATTTATGTTGATGATTCAGTTTTACATCTTGTACCCATAACTTCCGCACTATGTGTATATTTTAATGCAATCATCACCAGCATTAAAGGAGAAAATTTCTTCGGTTTCACAAAACAATTTGAAACCGACAGAATCTCAGGGTCGTCTTTGGGCGTGTGACTGGCGGTTATTTCGGTTCTGACGTATTTCCAACTCATCTGTTAGAACCTGTTCTTGCCAAGATGGTAATTCTGAAAGCATTCTCCATTGTTAATTTTTAGATGCAATTTATGATCTTGTTTAGCCGCCAGGGGAAATTAAGGCTCCAAAAGTGGTATATTTCCTATTCTGAAAGAGAAAAGAAAAAAATTTTACGCGATCTCACTACAATTGTGCTTTCACGAAAGCCAAAAATGTGTTCATTTATTGAATGGAAGGACTTGAAAGTTGTTTATCGTCGGTACGTTCATTCTGGTTTTATAATTAACGTTTTTAGTTATGCTAGTTTATACTTCTGTGCTGCAGTTGAACCCCAGGACAATGAGCTATTGACTTTGGAAATAATTCACAGATATGTGGAACTTTTAGATAAGTATTTTGGTAGCGTAAGTTGAACCTCTAGAGTTTTCATGTTACTTCAGTATATTTTCATAACTTTGCGAAGGCAGGTTATCCATATCCTAGTCGTATAAATAAAAATCAAGAGGTTTCAAACGGCTCTATTTTTATGCTTGTTGGAACCCATAACAAATATTTTTTTTTCTCAAAGAAGTATTGATCATAATCCTCGTAAATGAAACTAACAACTGTTTGTGTCTGGATAGGTCAAACTAAAACCGATTTGAATGGAACGTTAAGTTTTGTAGTAAATCTAGTGCCTTACCAGGAGGAATTTAGGTCTTTTAGTTACTAGACTCATTTGAAAACAGTTAGTCTTGGTATTTCGCCATTTCTTTTTGACAATAGATTGCATTTCTGAAACCCGCCCTACTTGATTCAGTTCGGGCAACTGTGGTGTGTCAGCACTGCACCGGAAGCTGCGGGTCGCATAAAAACATGTAAATATGTTTTTGAAGGGTGACAGCAGTTAGGCTGTAGCTTTATTGTAGTTTTTGATCAATCCAACGCTTCAATAGAGTGCTACGCAATTAGGTACTATATATATATATATATATATATATATATATATATGGAGAGAGAGAGAGATTGGAAATGCAATAATCCAAGATGTTAGAGTGTGATGCTTTATATGTTTTAGCCTACTGCCACAACCACACTTGATACTAAGAACCATAGAAAAACACGAATTCTTCACAATATAAGAAACTAGTGTGCCACAGGTAGATACGTTCTCATGGAACACAACGTCATAAGGGTTTGTTCAGCGATCGGATAAACAAGATGGGGTTCCAGGATTTGATGGCCTGAGTGATAAATTGTACACTACACAACTAGCTCCAAAAGATCACTTGGACTATTGCATAAGCTCTCGTTCTTTCTCACTTTCATTTGTCTATCCCTGGCCTTTAGTCGTTTGTGATTCGCTGCTATGATTTTCTCTTACTGATCCCAGGTGGAACAGTTAAATGTAATTTGTATTTCCACTGTAATTATTATTGTTTCTGTTTCCAAAACTTGCTGCACCCTAATATCTTTCCATCTCTTGGCCTAGTCGAAAAATATTTCGTAAATCGTAAAACACTATGCGATAATTTTGAACATTTAGGTGGAGGTTAATATAACTCAATAGTCAAGTACATTCTTCGTACTCAACCTAGGATCACATTCTGTGAGCTACCCAAAGCAAATTAGATAAAGCGAGCTTCTGACCTCAAACCAACTGCTTCAAAGATTGAATGCGCGAGCTATTGAACACCAACTTAACGTATTTAAAATGTCAATCAAATTTAAGAGATCACCAGTTTTTTTTTCTTTATGCGGTAATTAATATCTGACTTATATTTTCGATTAGGTTTGTGAACTCGACATTATATTCCATTTTGAAAAGGCATACTACGTATTAGATGAGTTTATGTTAGGAGGAGAAGTTCAGGAGACTGGCAAAGAAAGCGCTTTAAACGACATTGACATGCAAGATTTAATTCAAGAGGTAAGTTAAGTTTCAATCACATATTTGCATATTGTATTCCTCATTTTACCGTACTTGTTTTATTACCCTTATTATCAATACATATTTATCTTAATATTATTTAAAGGAAGAGGCACCTCAAGGATTTTTCGAAGAACAAGGTATTTTATTCTTTGTTTACTGCATGAGAAAATGGAACATTTATCTGCATGTAGACGCACATTTTATCTAAAAACTACTTCTGTGTATATTTAGTTTAGTAGTTTTTATGGTTTCACTTTGTATTCCACTGTTTTTCTTATCCTGTTTGGTACGACATTGAAGTCATCAAATGTGGTTATGTAGTTCGTCGTTTAATAAGTGTCTAACTTCTTTCCCAATCCACAAAGACTTAGAAAAATAACGACATAAGCTTTTAATAAATCGTCCTACATGAGCTCTGGGTTGAATTTTCCTCGTATTTGCATATGCCTCTCCTCTAGATATCCCGCCTTTCCATAATAAAGGGATGTGTTATAAAAGTTGAGCCTTAAAAGTAACGCATCTTAGCTTATTCCACAATTTTCCAATCCAAAAACTAAAATTCGGAGTGTACAAATCGAATCCACAGACTGCCACTCACAACCCAAAATAAAGCTATTTGAGATCAGCTATACTCATTTTCAATAAGTTCATTTTTATGGAACGAGGAGTAATCCTCTTAAAAAGCTCTTATTAGGTGCTATTACTATATATCTAAAGTAATATATTACGATAACTCCGCCTGGAGTCCCTCCGCGGGCTACTGCCGGTCCCGAACCCTGATAAAGGAGGAGGGTTGGGCATGGGGTTAGCGTCCCCATCCCGTAGAAAACTAACTCGCTAAAAAAACGCTAACCAGAAAGAATTATTCAAACCTTTTAACCTCTGCCCTGGGAGTCGGAAGGTCTTCATTTAGAAGAACTATGACGCCTCATGATGAAAGCCGAATTCCTTCGGAAGTTACGAGGCCGATGCTCCTTCTGACAACCAGGGCGACCATTTATTTAGGTACATGGAATGTTCGTACAATGTGGGACACCGGGAGAGCCTTCCAAATTACTGCAGAAATGAGAAGATACAACCTAGAGGTACTTGGGATCAGTGAAACACATTGGACGCAAGTTGGACAACAACGACTAACTTCAGGAGAGCTTCTGTTATACTCCGGCCATGAAGAAGAAAATGCCCCACATACACAAGGAGTTGCATTGATGCTGTCCAAACAAGCGCAAAATGCGCTTATAGGATGGGAATCTCATGGACCAAGGATCATCAAAGCCTCCTTCAAAACAAAGAAAGAGGGCATTTCAATGAACGTCATCCAATGATATGCGCCTACCAACGACTACAATGAAGACGCTAAAGATCAATTCTACAATAGGCTGCAGTCAATCGTCGAGAAGTGCCAAACAAAGGACCTGACCATTCTGATGGGAGATTCCAACTCCAAGGTTGGAACGGACAACACTGGATATGAAGACATCATGGGACGACATGGACTGGGAGAAAGTAACGAAAATGGTGAGAGATTTGCAAACCTATGTGCCTTCAATAAACTGGTCATAGGTGGCACCATATTCCCACATAAACGCATTCACAAAACCACATGGACTTCACCGGATCACACCACGCAAAACCAAATCGACCATATTTGTATCAACAAAACGTTCAGGAGGACTATAGAGGACGTGAGAACCAAGAGAGGAGCTGATATAGCATCAGATCATCACTTGCTGGTCGCCAAGATGAAATTGAAACTCAAGAAGCACTGGACAATGGGGCGGACAATATCACAAAAGTTCAATATGGCCTTTCTTCAGGATACTAACAAACTCAACAAATTCAAGATAATTCTCAGCAACAAGTTCCAGGCCTTTCATGATCTACTCAATGGAGAAGGAACTACTGTGGAGAGCAACTGGAAGGGGATCAAAGAGGCAATCACTTCAACATGTCATGAGGTCCTGGGTCACAAGAAGCACCATCACAAGGAATGGATCACTGTTGATACACTGGATAAGATTCAATAAAGGAGAAACAAGAAGGCAGCAATCAATACCAGTCGAAAAAGAGCAGAAAAAGCCAAGGCACAAGCTGAATACACAGTAGTAAACAAACAAGTGAAGAAGAGCATCAGAACCGACAAACGTAAATACGTGGAAGATCTAGCAAAGACGGCGGAAAAGGTTGCAAGAGAAGGGAACATGAGACAACTGTATGACATAACAAAGAAACTCTCTGGAAATCGCCGCAAACCTGAACGACCAGTGAAAAGCAAGGAAGGCGAGGTAATCACCAACATTGAAGAGCAACAATACAGGTGGGTAGAACACTTCAAAGAACTCTTGAATCGACCAGCTCCACTGAACCCACCCAACTTCGAAGTAGCACCCACTGACCTCCCAATCAACGTTGGCCCACCAACAATTGAAGAAATCAGCATGACGATCAGACAAATCAAGAGTGGCAAAGCAGCAGAACCAGACAACATTCCAGCAGAGGCACTAAAAGCAGACGTAGCGGCAACTGCAAGGATACTCCACATTCTCTTTAATAAGATTTGGGATGAGGAACAAGTACCAACAGACTGGAAAGAAGGACTTCTGATCAAAATACCAAAGAAAGGCGATCTCAGCAAGTGTGATAACTACAGGGGCATCACTCTTCTTTCAATACCGGGAAAAGTCTTCAACAGAGTATTGTTAAACAGGATGAAGGACTGCGTAGACGCCCAACTTCGTAACCAACAGGCAGGATTCCGTAAGGATAGATCGTGTACAGACCAAATCGCAACTCTACGGATCATTGTGAAACAATCAATTGAATGGAATTCATCACTTTACATCAACTTCATTGACTACGAAAAGGCATTTGACAGCGTGGACAGAACCACACTATGGAAACTTCTTCGACACTACGGCGTGCCTCAAAAGATAGTCAATGTCATACGGAATTCCTATGATGGATTACACTGCAAAATCGTGCATGGAGGACAGTTGACAAAGTCGTTCGAAGTGAAGACCGGTGTCAGGCAAGGTTGCTTACTCTCACCCTTTCTCTTTCTCCTGGTGATCGACTGGATCATGAAGACGTCAACATCTGAAGGGAAGCACGGGATACAATGGACATCTAGGATGCAGTTGGACGATCTGGACTTCGCAGATGATCTGGCCCTTCTATCCCAAACGCAACAGCAAATGCAGGAGAAGACGAACAGTGTAGCAGCAGCCTCAGCAGCAGTAGGTCTCAATATACACAAAGGGAAGAGCAAGGTTCTCCGATACAACACAGCATGCACCAATCCAATCACAATTGACAGAGAAGATTTGGAAGATGTGAAAATCTTTACATATTTGGGCAGTATCATTGATGAACAGGGTGGATCTGATGCAGATGTAAAGGCGCGGATCGGCAAAGCAAGAGCAGCATATTTACAACTGAGGAACATCTGGAACTCAAAGCAACTGTCAACCAAGACCAAGGTCAGGATTTTCAATAGAATGTCAAGACAGTTCTACTGTATGGGGCGGAAACCTGGAGAACTACGAAAGCCATCATCCAGAAAATACAGGTGTTTATTAACAGTTGTCTACGCGAAATACTTCAGATCCGTTGGCCGGACACTATTAGCAACAACGTACTGTGGGAGAGAACAAACCAGATCCCAGCGGAGGAAGAAATCAGGAAGAAGCGGTGGAAGTGGATAGGACACACATTGAGGAAAGCACCCAACTGCGTCACAAGACAAGCCCTCACATGGAATCCTCAAGGCCAAAGGAAAAGAGGAAGACCAAAGAACACATTACGCCGAGAAATGGAAATAGACATGGAAAAGATGAACAAGAATTGGATGGAACTAGAAAAGGAGGCCCAGGACAGAGTGGGTTGGGGAATGCTGGTCGGCGGCCTATGCTCCATTGGGAGTAACAGGTGTAAGTAAGTAAGTCATATATAACGATAGATTGTCTGTAATGATCTTCATGAATTTAAGATTGCTTGTAACTGCCGAAGTAAGTAACATGCAGTTTATATGTGAATCTGGTTTTTGTCAAATGAAACTTCAAAAATCACCATATATAAGGTGAGAAGAAACAATATAAATAACAATAAAACCAGATATTCTAATATACTCTGAGTAATCTACTAATTAATTACGAGAAAAATAAATGTGGAGTGAGTACTAAGTTGTTCTAACATAATAATGTGATTGAATCAGATGAATTTGAATTTTAAAAAGTGTAGAAGGGATGACGATATTCACATACGGTTTATTTATTCGTTTTATTGTTTGAAGATTATTAGTTTGGTCAAAGTAGAAATATTGCAGTCGACCTATTTATTTTGGATTCAAATCTCAGCTTTTACATTCGTATTGCAGCCGCTTTTGGGATTTAGAAAATGCGAAGCCTGGGGAATTTAAAAGAATTACTTTTAACATTGTAAATTTTTGAAAATGACTGACTAATGTTAGCATCAGGTAGGCCTAGATAAAACTTTCTATGCCTTTTAGCTACGTTTGAAGATGTTCACGAACATGGGAAAGTAAATTACTAGAACATCTACCAATCTGATTTGCTCTCTAGAACTATTTGAACTCACGGATATGAAAAATGGTGGCCAGCACATGCGCTCTATCTTTCGTTCTTGACATCACCATCGAACCCGACCAAAGCATTATTTGTAGTTCACCAGCTGCTACGTTTCCTCTGTGTAGTATCCAATTAACTTCACTCTACTTTTGTCAAATTAGAACATGAATTAATTGGAAATTATATATTCCGACAAACTCGAGTAATAAAAGATCTATTGGTGAAAAGAGATTGCATACTGTTTATTGGAAATCTTCTAATGTGTTCTCGGTTCATCCATAAGGACTGATTAGTATAAAATGGATTTATCAGTGTAATATGATTTGAGTCTGACCCCAGAGTGTATTAGTTAAATTTTTCTTTTTATCTGCTTTAAACTCCTGAATGCCATTTTTACGTGGTATTATTGATTTTAGTCGTTTGATATTCGTTTTGATACAGTGATATTGGGTGCAACAACAACCAATGTATGTTTGTAGCCGGTCCTACATCGTATATATCCATTTATTTGACTTTTTGAAGTCACTGGTGTTTATCTTAACTTGTTACAAACAACTCGTTTTTTATCTACTTCGTCTACATTCTAAGCTTAATAACAAAAATATTGATATCGTACTCAAAATCGTATATCCGATTATGTTAAACCAACTTAGCCGTTTATTTTTATTATAAGTATTGATAACCTCATTTTTTATGGATTTCATTATTCTGTTGTCCACTTATGATAATTTGGCTCAACTTACAAGAATTAGTATGTTGTTTAAAAAAGTATTACATACTAATATATGATTGTAATCGTTCCATCTTGTCTTCATACATAGAACATGCCCTTATAAGTCCCTTATTATTGCTTTCCTGTAAGACGATTAATATAATTTTAGAGACTAGTCGCTTCATAATTGAGCACGTTTCAAAGGATATAGTTATACACTGTCTGTCTACATTGTAAAATTACTATTTAGTTTTTGCTTTTATACGTGCATTTATCGCAAGTTTTGTAGCACCTACATATATATGGCTGGTTCATTGTGTATTTAAATTACAATTTATGTTGTTTTTTGTCCTTTGTTTGTCCATGTAAACGGTGTTGGTATATTTTTGTTGACTGTGTATTTTGTTTCTCATTGTTTATTACTGTTTACTCACTGTAAATACTGTGCACGCTCATACGTCATATTATATTGTATAATCTTGATCAATAGATTGCCAATTGGTTACTGAAATTCGAGGAGTAATACCATTCTTTGATTCCTGTAACTCATCTAAGTAGTACATGTCTATATGTGATGGTGCTACCTGGCTACTTATACTACTATATGCAGGGTAAAATTCGCGTTCCTAACTCAATCATTGAAAGTTAAATCTTTCAAGCATTTCACTCTTCATCCTATAAGATTTTAATCCAACCCTACAACTGTCACTTTTCCCGCAAATAGATTGGCGTTAGAATGCTAGACTGGTGACACTGATTTTTTGTAAAATCAAATTGCTGATTATTATCCTTGTGTAGGGTAAGACTACAGGAAAAATATAAGTTCATAATACATTGGTAACTATATTCGATCAAATAATATTAAATCTCATTAAATGTTCAATTCATTCGTTTTATTTCTTTTTTTAAAAAAATTTCTCAACCATAGGAGGAGTGTAAAACCAAAGAAGAACAAGCTGATATAAGTGTGGTTGATGTTTCTGGATTTTAAAATCATTTCTGTTTCCTTCAGAGATAATAAATGACTTGTGTATACATTTACTTTAAGATTAGAGTATGCGATATGTTTGTAAGTAAATTGTGCAAAGTACTCAAAAATTATTTACTTCTTACAAACTTTTTGATAAAAATTTTCTCTGTTCACTTTTCTGTTGTTTTGCTTAATTTTCAAATGGAAATTTTAACACCTCTCTCTCTCTCTCTCAACAAACATGTATACATTTAAGTTAGTTATTTTTTCTGTTCGTTCCTTCTATTAAATTGTCAGTTAACTTTTTTTTTAAATGTAATTTCCCCTACATATGCCTTTCATTTAAAAGAAAAAAAGACATTCTACTGCTCAAACCAATTTTGCATATCATTGTTTTACAAGAGACTATTACTATTACCTCTGATATTACGATTTACTTCCTGTGGTGATGGTGGTGGTGGTAATAGTAGTGGTTTTGTATATTTGATCAACATTCCAAGTAAATTTAATTATTTATTTTGTATTATTAGCTCTGTTTTGTAATGGTGATAATTTTTTTTATTATTTTTAAATAGTTTTATTGTATCGTTTTTGTGACATTTACTTCAATGAAAACGGTCCTTTCTTTTCATTTTTTTTTAAAATATGCATTTTGTATAATGTTTGTATTTTTCTGCGTCATTGGTTTAACTTTCCTCTGTTTAATGTGTGTGTGACTGCTCGAAGACTGTGATGATAATTAGTATACATTTGGTAGTAGGAATAAGTAATTATAATAAATATTACTGACTAGACTAACCTTATAGTTCACACTGTTATATTGTCTTTTATAGGGTTTACTTGATGTTATTGTGTGATGAAATGTACTGAAACTATCGTATTTGTATACACTGGTCTGGCTAACAACCACATTTATAAATTTATACACACTTTATTGACCTCATATGTTCCTTTAAAATGTGCTTGATTATTTACAGACCTTAAAACTCAGTATCAAAATAGAAAAAAATAATTTGAACCAATGCTTTTATTCAGGTTAAATTAACATAACAGTTTTTGTTTATGTTAGACATTTCGTGTCTGAACAAAAACATAGAAAAGTTGTTGAAGGTTGTAATAATCTAAAACGAACTACCCAGTGACACTCAAAAGAAACACAAAAATCGATGTCAACAAAGTCTTAGGTTACTGTTGTATTATGATAAATTTGGTATTGTTCGTTTTGTTTTTCAGACTTGTGAGAGAAGTAGCCATGTTATTCGACACTTGTCTTCCAGAAATATCTAAGAATGACAACTTTTGTTGCTTTCTTTATTTGTAAGTATGAAAACTGTGGTCAGTGTGTTTCTCTGTCTGACCTTATATTAAAAGACTAGTATATTGATTATCACTCATTGACAGGATTTTAGGACGAAGTGCTAGTGATCGTTTTTCTCATTGATTCTACCACTCTCTTAAGAAAGCAACTTGGTAGTACTTGATGACTAACCAGTTACTTTGGTTGACTATTCTAAATTGCTATCCAGTCATAGTGTGAAAATTCTAATGCTCAAAATCATAAACCTAAATTCACATAGGTGAAGATTGAACAAGCAACTGAATTTAAGTTAATAGGTAAGAATAGTATATACTTATCTGTAACTTATCAGTCTTACATGATGAGTAGTTTTTCTTTATAATTAAAGGGCAGTTTAGTAGCTGGATAGATTTTTATGTTTTACAATTGATTTTTCTAGAAAATTCATATTTTTTCGAGCTAATTTATTTGTTCCAGAAGGTCAGTTTGTATTCTTAATTCTATGGAATTCGTCATCAAATAAAGGAGCCTTAGTTTACGTTCCGAAAATCTGAAAGAGTATAAAATTATCTTCAATATGCGGAAGCTTCTCTGATATTTCAATGGAGTACTGCTATATACAAGTATACATCATAAGATTCGGTAAGAAAATGATATTACCAGAAAAATACTCAGTAATCGCGGGTCTCTAGGATGATGTTATGTTCAAGTTCTGTACTAGCCCATAACGTACAATTCTTAATCCTATTAAACACTTAATTGTCCTCTGGGTGATGTAAACCTTTTGGAGAACTCTGTCATCAAGAATCTAAAATCAATCCATCAGAATGAACACTACCATTTTTCAAAATTACTATTGAATTTCAGTATTTCATTTTGGGTGGATTTCGGTAAGGGAAATTATCTTTAGGCAAAGTATCATGCTACACTTTGCTCTTAGTTTTCATATAATAGATATGTGATCCTTAGTTAGTAGTATGTTATCAACGTTCTTTAATTTCTCTTTCCTTTGGAATTTGGCCATTTTTCGTTGATTCTGAATCTGTTTCACCAGGTGTGCTGGTGATGTGTGGAGGACAGTCACCTTCTGAATTCACTCACTACGGAAAAATACTTGAAAAGGGAATGAAACTACTAGAGGTCTTAAAGAGGAAGAATGTATTTGTAAAATCTCAGCAAAAGAATTTGAAGTAAATCCAACGTTTCGCCTGGCAATCTGGTCCAAGCTTTTTCAAGGAAAGTATAATCAAACAACAAAATTATCGAATATAAATAGGTACATGGTTCTCCGGTTTACTATATACTGATTAATTCATCCAATCAACGTTACCAATGTTTAAAGTAGGTATTTACATTAGTGTGTAAGAGACATGTAGTGTGAACCGAAAAGTGTTAAGATAACAGATTGTGTAAACGTAAGCGATGTGAAAAGAAATCTCATTCATTATATATTATCTTCGGTCAGTAGAATATTAAGAAAACATATATGACATGAAACAAAAATGTCACAGCATGCATAAAATGAAGATAAATAAACAAGATAAAAGACTGAATTCAGATAGGAATGTATTTGTAATTGAAAGTTTGTGTTATTTTAATGTTCCAGTCAATTGTTTAACATATTCAGGTAAGATAACTGATTTGAACCGTTGAATGTATTATCTATTGATTAGTTAATATGATATATTTTACAAAGGCCAAAAATAAGGCATGTTTTAATGAGTTTGACAATGTTATGTGTTAAAAATGGTAAACGTTTGCATCTGTTACGATATATATATATACTTCAAAAAATTGTAATATTTGCAAATTAGAAAGGTCATTCAATAAAGGTCAGTAAATAATTTTACAGGTTGAAATCATGAGTCAGTTGAAGCTAGACCACCATTGAAAACCTGGAAGCACTGGACGGCCGTTTCGTCCTGGTATGGGACTCCTCAGCAGTGCGCATCCACGATCCCGCATCACGCGAGGCTCGAACCCAGGACCTACTGGCTTCGCGCGCGAGCACTTAACCACTAGACCACTGAGCCGGCATCCAACGGTGTTAATGTCTAACTTCAACCAATCCACGAAGCTGCGCCACCGTACACCATTGTCTTCAGTGAGTTGTTATCTCACAACAGACCGGTTGAACTCCACTGGTAACAGCTTCTCACTAGAACTCCAGGAGTTTTTCCTGAAGTCAGTCACTAGTGAGCAGTTGATTATTATCAGAATGGGTTTTGTGGAGAGTTTAAGAAATTTCACAGGCTGAAATCATGAGTCAGTTGAAAACCTGGAAGCACTGGACGGCCGCTTCGTCCTGGTACGGGACTCCTCAGCAGTGCGCATCCACGATCCCGCACCACGCGGGGCTCGAACCCAGGACCTACTGGCTTCGCGCGCGAGCACTAGACCACTGAGCCGGCATCCAACGGCCGTCCAGTGCTTCCAGGTATTCAATGGTGGTCTAGCTTCAACTGACTCATGATTTCAACCTGTGAAATTCCTTAAACTCTCCACAAAACCCATTCTGAAAATAATTTTGTCAACTGAGATAATAATAATATTTTCATAGATTGAAATCATGAGTCAGTTGAAGCTAGACCACCATTGAAAACCTGGAAGCACTGGACGGCCGTTTTGTCCTAGTAAGGGACTCCTCAGCAGTAGGACGAAACGGCCATCCAGTGCTTCCAGGTTTTCAATGGTGGTCTAGCTTCAACTGACTCATGATTTCAATCTGTGCAAATTTCTAAAAATCTCCACAAAACACATTCTGATAATAATAATATTGTCGTGTGAATATAATATGTAATAAGGGGGGTGTTATCAAGGTAATTACGGTCAACAAATTGGGAATGATGGATATGAAGATTAAGATATAGATAAATAAAAATGAAGGAAGGAAGGGGTAAGAGGTTTATAATATTCAGTCTAGGTATTTGGTGATCCAGTCGTAGGCCAGGGTAAACATAGAGGCTGGATATATTTTTTCTGGATGCATAAATTAGGTCTTCTGGAGTTGATCCAGATGGCTTCGGCTGTGTAAAGCAGTCTTAATCTAGCTTTTTGAGGTAGATATTTTGGAACTTGATATAAAACAGAGAAAGCTTCCTCTATTTTGATATGATGTTCACTATCTACCAAGTGAGAAAGAATGGTGCTGTTAATCGATTTGGTGACTCCTTTTCCCAACCATGCTGGTACATGTTCACGAACACGCAAGGATAAAGCCCTCTAAGTACGGCCTATGTAACTAGCTCCACAGGAGCAGTTGAATTGGTATACACACATGGAGGAGCCCATCTTCGGTAACTTAGCCTTGATTAGTTGTGTGAGTACTGGTTTAGTCGAGAAAGTTATGTGTAACTTGGCGGCATGAAACGTCCTCTCGACAGATCTTTTAAGTCGACGTGTTAGAATATCACCCGCTATGTCGCCTTTAAAGTCAAGTTTCAGATATAAGGTCTTTTTACTGACCGTGTCGCAATGTCTTCTCTTTTTAATACTTTGTACGAGGTATTTTTTGACGAAATTATCCGGATAGCCATTATTACGTAATGTGTTCTTTAGTATAACTATTTCTTCCTCCACACTGTTACTTTAAATTTACTTCAAATTCTTTTGCTAAGATTTTACAAATATATTCTTGCTCTTTAATGCTTCACATTAGCTCGGCGCTCAAGTATTGTGAAACTGTTCGTTCAATTTAGACTAAAGTTCTTGTTTAGTAGAAGTCTTGGTGACCACAGAATCCACGAGCCATTTGTGGTTTCTTGATTTCTTAGCTTTAAAGGCTTTACCACCAGAAACAAAAATCGATTTGGTAAGGTGTGCTATTTTTAGGGCCGCCTTCAGTAACCCCTTCCGTTGTAGGAAGGCAGATGCTGGTTGCACGAAAGAAATACCTTGCTACCGTCATAGCTCAATGCAGTTAGCAATACGGCTTCGCTCTCGGAGCTTAAGGTTTTGCTTTTAGCCTTACCGTCCTCCTACCAACCTGTCTGCGATGATAAAACCGAAAGGATCGATGACTAAACCTGAACATTTTATCAAGGTACCAGCTATCATCAGGAACTAACACTACGGTGTTTGTTCATCTAATATATAAAGAACTCCACTCACCACTTGACCTTATTTTTTGGGTGTCCCACAGCTTATTAAGGAACTTCGATTACTTTATTGCTGAATGATTGTTAACATTGAAGGTTAGGGTAGATTCCAGCATACAACTACTACTTATAACGGTTAGCAGTTCATCCTAATTTCATTTATTCTCTAGACTAAGTAGTTTCATATCGTCTTTTGCCTGCAAATGTCTGTTGGTATATTCAAAATGGTGATGGGATATAATGAACATAATTAACTGTTGAACCCTCCTATCAACTTTACTGACATAACTATGTAGGTTGCTGCGACATAATTGACTGATAAATTGTAGAATGATTGAAATGTATGAGCTTACAATTCACCAACTGAACGGATGCCGTAATCCCAACTGAACAGATTTTTGAAGGCAGATCGAGAAAGAATGTAACCTGTAAATATACGTATGAGATTCTGTATGGAATATGTTTCTACTTTAAGAATAAGATGTATTATGATTTTTTTATAAAATTGAATAAGATCTATGTATAAGTAACTTTTATACTTGATTCATAATTTAGCTTATTTGGACATTCATAAACTAATAAATGTTATAATATTCAT